AGTAAATGGTATCTTTGTTGATGGATGATACCTCTTTATAGTATCAGAAGTCACAAAAAATAAGGAATTAGTCGGGGGGGGAAAAAGAAAAACTTTTCGCTCTTCTCAAAACCTTTCCACATTATTTTAGCTAGCAGGATTGATTCTAAAAATTTATAATGTAGCAGAACACAACTTGCTTTAAGTTCAGGCTGAAGTAAATTGTTACGACCCTGTAACTGCAGCCATTGAAGAGGCACCTTATATTACGTAGTCATGGTGGAAAGTGTACCTAACCCAACATACACATTCTACACTGAGGTCATAAGCTATATGTTCTGCAATGACAAGCTAGTAATTGTAAAGAAAGATTTTAGAAGCTCAGTATATTTTTTATTGCACTTTTTTGATTAAATTATCATACGTTCTGCTGTGAGCAAGGCATTCCCCAAGTGCTGTCCTTTTTAGGTGGGTTTTTTTTTTGCTATTTACCTGATAGAGACCTGCTACTTTTGTACGTAATTAATGCTCCTCAAAGAATGTACTTAATCTGTACCTGTATCTTGTTAGATGCGCCTAGAATTCACCTTGTTGACCAGCCTTACTTTTCCATGTCTTTTTTCAGTTAGAGGGTGACTAGCTTTGGAGGCCTTAGGTTTCATTTTTCCTCGCTGAAATTTGGAACAGTTCTCTTCCCCCACCCTTTATTCTTTGGGAAACAGTGGGGAACAAGAACAATCCTTTGCTCTCCTTTCCCTCTACCGCTCAGGGAGGTAACAACAAAGAACAGATTATGCAGTTAAAGTCGAAAATATACAAGAAAAATGATGTACCATGTTTTCCTGTACAGCTTGTGCTCTCCTGACAGAAACACTGAGTATAGTGAACATATATTTTACAATCTTTGGAAAAACAATGCTGCATCTTTTAATTGGCAGGTCCTTTGTCGGAATGTTTTGTGGCATAAGAACGACATATTTGTAAAAAGGAGCAAATCATCTTGGTGCTTCTAATTCTCTAGCATTACATTCAGAGACCTGTTGTATTTAAACCGTTCTTCAGTGAGTGAACTGTCTGTGTAATTGTAGCTAATGTCTATTGCAAGGTGATTGCAGTGCTTCCCTTGCAGGATTGGAGATGTAGAGGCTTTATTTGGGCCAGAAACTCTTGGCCCGTTTTAGAAGTCCTGTATATCTATACATATGTCCCTCTCTTCCTATCCACACAAGCTTCTTTATGGGCTTGCAAAGAAAGGAGATTCTTTGATTAGGCAGAACTAAGTTATTGACTCGCCTTTCACTTTGCAATTAAAGATCAGATTTGGAGGTTTTATATGTAATTTGTTACCTTAAAGTTTGAATCAATCTTTCTTTTCTTTCCCATGTTTTTGCACACGTGTGTGTATCTGCTTTTTGACAGAGGGAGATGAGGAGTACCGTGTTTGCTCTCCTTTCTGTAGTTCTGATACCTGATGGCTAAATTAGATTACAGGGTCCCCTTTTGGATAATCAGTCAAGATGGGTAGAAGTTCATTGCCTCATGATAAACATTAATTGAAAACAGATTGGGAAGTCTGTTCTCTTAAAGGAAGTAGTGAATGAGACTGGGTGTTTGGTGCCAAAAGAAGACATAAACCTTCTATTTCTTAACTCATTTTATTTTATGTTGTGGAAAGGCAGTTACGTACTGGCCCTAATGCTGGGACCAGGTTAACAGGGTTGTGCAGCTGACAGCCACTGTTTTCCAGCTGTTGTTGCTAGGATATTCTGGTGTCTTTTTCGTTGCATTGCTAAAGCTGGTACTTAGCAGGAAGGCAGAAATAGCCTCTGTGGTAACTCCGTGCACCGCAGAAAAGGCTTGCTTTCTGCCCCTCTTACTTTACTGCTATCCTCATTGTTCAGTTGCAACTACTGGAAGAGAAAGTTTGATAATCAAGGGAACTAAAGTAATTAGGTTGTAGTTTTTCAATAATGCTTGCAAGTTTTGCCTTAAGAATGTATGTGCTTTTGAAAAAAGAAAAAAATTCTCTACAGTCTAGATTTACTGATAAATTTAGATAAAACAGGTTTAACTGTCTTGCCTAATGGGGTCTCCTTGTACATAATAAGGCTATTTGTCATACCCTTGATAACCTAACCTTTGTTAGCTGCTTAGAAACTATCAACAGAGAAGCCAGAGTCTCCATTGTAACCAGGATACCTTCTTGCCAGCTCCTGCTTTATCCATTACTAAATTGCTAAACAAGAAATAGAGTAAAGAAGGAATTGTTTAAACTCATTATCAAAATTAAATGGTGTTCAGTAACAAAGCCAAAAAGACTAGAAATGAGAAAATAAAAAATATCTTGTTTCCTTCCTTAAATATTATGACAAACATTGCCAGAAGGGTAGTGCAACTTGATTTTATAAATAGCATTTCCGCAATATTTTGCATCTCTTTATTTACATAGCATGGTTCAAATTCAAGTAAACCATTAATATTTTAGCCAGAAGTAGAAGAGCACCTATTTTTACATTTTTAAGAAATGCATGTGCTTTACATGATTTTCTTTAATCGTTTCTTTGTTACAAATCTTTTTCTGATGGATTATTTGTTTTCATTTTTGACCCTTTAATTCTGCTAATGCTTTAGGTATTTTATTCTTTTATGCACTAACTTTTAAAAGCAAGTTAGTAACAAACCAGGAATTGGCAATTATTGTGATTGCAGTATATTCCCTGACATCCCTGTAGATAGCATGTTAATACTCAGAAGCAAAAAAAGTGATAGATACGCAAACTTGAAAATGCTACTTTGTGGTGACAAAGACCACAGTTCTCTTTTTCTGTTACCCATACCGTAATGTGGCTATGGCTACAACATAGTTGTGATCTCCTTCCTAATGTTGGTGAGCAGCAGTTTCTATCTTTTCCAAAGGGGTAAAGAAATACCCAAAAGGATACACGAATGCTTCTGGTTGTTGTGAAGTGCTGCCGATTCTCTCCAGCTTTGGCAAAACAGGGAAGAAATCACAGCACTGTGTAAGCAGCAAGGGTTGTGTGTGTTGCGATTGTGTGAAGACGTGGAAGGAGAAGACATTTTGACTAGCCTGGAGGCTAAAGCCCTCTTCCCCTCCACCTGCCATGTAAACTGACACCTCCAAAACACTATAGGAATAACATTTAACAGCCATTCCTTTTGCAACTAAACTCTAGGAAAGTACTTGACTTCGTAATTGAAAATTTACTCTTTCTTTTCTGAGATGCTCCTTTTTGTATAGCAAGGCAGACCTTACACATTAAATGTCATGTTGAGATTATATATCGTCAGTTATTTTCAGCTGTGAATTTCATAGAGAGTGTTAAATTATTAAGGTACATCAGTTTAACCAGTAGCCTTCTAGGATACGAAATCTGAAAACAAATAAACAGAGTTTAGTTTGGAAACTCTCCCTTTTATTTATATATAAGAAGGGTCATCTCTCAATGTTTTCTGACACTGAGTATTTCAAAACTCAAAATTATTATGACTATATGATTTTTTGATTGTAGCTGTTTGTAACTTAAATATATCGATGGGGAGTTGGGTTTGGGTTGATACTGTTTTCTTGAAGGAAATGTAGAATTCTGAGTTAAAGCAATGGTGAGAAAGAGATGTTTGCAATTCTTAAATGCTTCTCATATAAGTTGTCTTCTCTCCTGTGCAAAAGTATGAAAGCAAATTTATTTGGGTTCATTTAGGTATTCGTTAGTGAAATACATTTGGATAACATTTTTGGCTCTTACTAAAGTGACGGGAATAGTTTTACTGATGTTTGGACCAGGTGATCTTTTGAGGTCCCTTCCAACCTGGGCTGTTACCAGACCAGACATACAAAATGATTGGAGCAAGTAAGAATGTTTTTAGAGGCAAAATTTTCAAAATAACCTGTCATATTTCCCAAGAAGTACACAAGAAGGTTTGAATCCACAACCCTTGATGGTAATTAGTGAGACTAGAAGGAAATGCCGAAGCTAGCAAAGATAGAAGGGCTTAAACTTTCGGCTGCAGTGAGGAACCTACATCAAGTCCAGACACACAAGCCAGTATGCTCTATGGGCTTTAACAAAACAGTATGTCTCTCTTAAAAGTGAACAACTGGCTTGCTTTTTTGAAGTAAAGATTAGGATTTTCTGCCCTTTGTGTGTGTTAGCCTGTGGACTGGAGAGCACAGGTGGGATGGATATCTGAAGAAGTGCTTTGGACGTGCAGGTGCTAGACCTTCTAAGACTTTTATAAGATGGTTTGCTGAACTTTCATTTGGTTTTAAGTCTGTTTAAATCCATATTTAGCCGCCGGTTTGCTTTTCTTTTTTAGTTTTGTTACAGCTTCTAAATAATACATAAAATAAATTCTACTTCACCATTTGCTGACATGCAAATAAAGCAATAATAACACCTGTAGTGTGTGGATACAAAATGGAACAGAATGTATCTGATGCTCTAGTGCAGTATCAGAAAAAAAATACTAGAAAAATAAAACAAATTAACTGCATGAACTTTTTAATTGTGAAAATGCCGTCTCATTTTTTGTTGGTTTTGATTATTGTAGCCATTGTACATATGAAAGTTTTCAGTAACAGAAAGTCAAATATGTTCATCAGGACATTGATTAGATGTACTTGGAGTAACAATTGGGTAGGTCTTTGTCAGTTATAGAAGATTAGTACTGTGCTGTAATGGTTTCAACTTTAAATTGATACATTAAATTGTTAATCTTCTAGCTGTAAGTGAGCCTGACATAATTAAGTTCTCTTAATCCCTAGAGATTTTAGCTTTCACTAAATGTCTGAGCACTGAACTAGTTAACATGAAGCAATCACAACTGCTTACAATGTCAACTTTATTCAAAGAAGTATGGGTTTTTTGTTCTATGACACTTTTTCCTGTATGACTTTTTCAGACTGAAAGCTGCATCTGCTTATATTTATTTTTAATATGTCTGTTACAGACATACAGGAGAGTGTTAAAATGTGTTACTAAACTATTTCTTCTTACCAACAGTTATATGAACAGTGCATATGCAAGGCTGCTTCAGTCCATTCAGAGGATCATTTACCAGGAAGGATTTGATGGCTCTGATCCCCAGGTACTGAAGACCCTCGTGCTGTTCTATAATCCTGTAACTAATTTGTTTTCTGAGTTTTCAAGGGAAGCACAAGAAGGTCTTGGGCAAAGTAACGAGGAACAAGCTGTTTCTAAGCATTGCTAAAGTAAGCAAGCAAAGAGAGAGTGTGGTTCATATTTTAATATGCATTTGGAGTTTTTACCTGTTACAGATATGCAGACCATGTAAGAAAGACCTGTAAGCCAACATTACTAAAACACATATTCTGTGCAATTAGTTAATAAATGGATTGCCAAATATAATGTAATTAAGCAAAACACATTTTCCTCTACAGTATTTTTTTCAAACAGTTGCTTTAGCAATAATGTGTTCAAGACTCTTGAGATTGAACATTTAGTCTTAAACTTTCAAATTTTTTCAACGTTGTTTTAACGACAGTAGAGTGAATTTTTTAATGAATTCAATTGTGTGCATCTTTATGTAGCAAGCATTGAAACACAAGTAAAGAAATACAAATGCTATGTCAACTTTACAAATCAAAACAGCTTACCAGTCTTCTAAAGATCTCTGTACTCTTCATAAATCATACTGTGGGCAATCAAAAACATTTTAAAAGTAACAACATAGGCTGAAAGCCCTTTTCTAATTTGAGCAGTACCGTATCTATTATTCTTTGTCAGATTCAATAATACATGAGTCCCTTGGAGTTAATGGAAATAAAATAATAAATTATATATAGATGCTTAATTGATTGGTAATTATTTTTTTTGTTGTACAATAGAAGTGTTACTACAGCAGAAGTTAATTAGTATAGATGTTGGAGAAACCTCAAAGAATATAACACAAGACTGTGTACTGTTACTAGTGGGATATGTTAAAAATCCCCTTTTGCAGGGAAGTGGATGTTGGAATGGATGTTTTCATGTCTAACCATATGTTTTAGAAACGTTGCTCAGTGTTTAGGCTCTGCTGAGATGTATGGGCGAGCTTGCTTTCCCTTTGGTGGCAGTGCCAGTCTGGAGAAGTAAATTGGTCCCTGACAGGCACCTCTCCCCGCTCGCTACAGTAGCCATGGCAACAGTCATGTCATCCTACATACGGCACCGTGCACGAAGATGCTCCTCCCGCACCGTGACAGGTCCTGTGGAAGCCCGAGAGCTTGCCGGCTGCAAAGAGCAGCACCGAGTGAAACAAACACCCTGCCAACCTTCAGCCAGCAAACAACCTCCTACCGAAGAGGTTAGGCTGGTGTTTCTTATTTTTCTTACAAGTTGGGTCTGATGGGAAAATAGCACCTTTGTATATTCCTGATTTTTTCTTTTACATGTAAAAGAAAATAAAGGTTGGCCACAGTCAATATGTTTGGATGTTTTGCTTTCAAGGAAAAACTAAAAACATCATGGAGAGTTATTTTCTATACTTATTGTTCATTGTTTCAAAATGTCTTATTAGTGTCAATAAAACAAAACCAGAACTTTAACTCAGATTAATTAAAAAGTATTTTTGCTAAATGACTTACACAAGTTTCTGAGATGCAGCTTTAAAAGTTTGAAAAAGAGTCCTTCTTCAAGCTAGTTTGTCAATCTAGAAAGCCATTAGCACTTGCGTAGTTGTTTCTGTTTCAAGGGAGATAATGCATATGATCTCCTGCAGCAGTATCTTTCTTTTAAGATTCCTTTTTTCCTCATGCATCCTCTTTCTTTGTACACTCAAATTTTGTACATTTGGAAGCAGTCTACAATACACACCTCTTAAAAATATGTCCAGAGTTGAATGCAGTTATGGCCCAGAACAGACCTTGGATCTTTTTATCTTCCAAATCTATGAGAAGTTCACCTCTCTACTGCTCCGTATCCCCTTCTATTTACTGAGGCTTCAGAAGTACTTACTAAGTAGTCAGATATGAAGATTGTAGAGTAAGGACCAGCCTGTATTCTTCTGGACCTGTGTGCTTTCCTGGATATAATAACAATACAAGCCTCAGAGAAGTTTGCGGATGTATGCTCTTACACTCCAAATAATCCTATACCCTTTGGGTGGATCCTGTCATCAGTGGCTTTCATGAAATGTGGAGAAAACTGCAAGGGCCAAAATGTAGCATGGAGGTGCTACACTTTCGAGAGATTTACTTACTGACTTTAAGCAGATCCATTAATCACTGTCCGGGAATGACAGAAGCCGATGTCAGTAATGCTTCATTTTTCATACTGAGAAGAGCTTGCTTGTCAGGGTAATAAAGTTGGGGGGGATTGGTGTTTTGTTTGTTTGAAGTTGTGTTTTTTAATTCTTCATAATCAGAATTCTTACTGCCAAAGCAAACATTGTTACAAAAATTCCATTAAGAAGGTACCAAAAAAACCCCCAAACTAATGAGAGTATAAAAGATGTAGTGGTATATCTAAAAAAAGTTATCCTGCTCTGACTTAAGTTTTTCTTGTATTTCAGTTATGGAATAAGCCGCTTGTCAGGGCCTTATGAGCCTGACAGAATTATACTGGTAGAAATTTTGTTACTGGCCAAAACAAATACATCTGATACTGTCTGGTGTTTGAGTAGCTTTATCTTTTACAACTCTTATGATTTAATATTGTGAAACGAGCATCTGTCATCCTTCATCCAAAGAGAGAACTGATATTCTGATAAAGTTTTTTGGCTATTTCTGTGTTGTTGCTGATGTTCTTCATAAGAGAAAATATTTTTCTTGTTACGGAATTTTCTGTAAGTTTTGTGTATGTTTGCTCTGAAATTTTGAAATACCAGGACACTTTGTCTGCATGATGAATATACATCATATCTGGGTAAATTCTTTTTATTAAATGCCTAATTTTGTGCTATTGCTTAAACAATCATCAAGAAATGCATGAATCTGCTCTGATTAGAAGTCACTGAAGAATATTAGACTAGCTTCTATTTTTCCTATTCTTTTTAAAACTGTGACCATCTGACCCTAGCAAATATATAGAGAAATCAGATTGTGTCATGTTATCCTGTACTATTATCCGTATCTTCATAAGGTAGTGTAAAAAGTAAACTTTACATAAGTAAAGCCTAAAAGCCTGCAAAGCCTGAGACTAAAGAATCCACCAGAGCTAAAACATAGATTGCGTTCACAAAGATTGTAAGCGAATTGGCAGATCAGCTCACTGTGTAAGCCATGAGAGTTGGATGAATGCAGCGCCGTGTGGTACTAACTGTGTTTCACAACCGAGGCTCTGTCTACCCAATATGGAGAAGGAAGTATTTATAAAAGTAGCCCCTTGTCTTCTCAAAATCTTTCCTCTGGATTTCCAGAGCAGCTGTGCAATGTTTTGTGCTTGATAGTTTCTGTTCACTCCAGCTGCAGTTCAGGAGAGTGGAAATGAATATCTACATTTCATCAAAGCACTTCATTGTAATGAAAAGTACCTGGAAGCTTTTATTTATCTAAAATAGTATTTTTTATGTATGTATATATTAAAGATAAAACAAGGTGGACTTTAGGTATGAACTCTGAATTCTAGAAATGTATCTTTCATCACCTTGTACAGAAAGCCTTTCAACAAGGGTGCTTCTTGTCTCTCTCAGCTGGTGATATCCAATGTACCTAAAATCCTTCTCAAAGATCACCAGGAAAGGTCACATCAAATAAGCAGAAATGAGACTTGTCGTCATGAGAGATGACATTTTAGTTTGCATAAACAAATTACAACTCTGGCTTCATAATGTGCCCCTTCAGAAAAGGGGCTTTATCTTAGCCACTGCCTCTGTTGGGTGCTCTTCTGCCAGCGTACTGCAGGGCAGCAAGCGGTGTAGGTAACACAGGAGGCCATGTAGGATTTTACATGTCAAAACAGCTTAGATTCTGGTACTCAGTAGCTAACTAAAGCACATCCAGAAACACTCATGTCAAGGACTTTCAGAAAGGTGTAGTCCTTGAGAGACAAATCTGCTGATGTCTCCATCAGACTCTCTTTGTGGGTAAATTGGCCTTCCATTAGTTGGAAGGAGTTGACAGGAATGTAGATGATACTTACAGAGACTTCTGAAACAGGGAATGGGCCATGTGTTGATGAGGTAAGCCACCGATCTACCGGCCACCAGTATTTCCATGCTCTCTTACACTTGTACTTGCTTGTCTGACATAGCATGGTATCTAGTTAGTGAAAAAGGTGCTATTCCACTTGTAATTTTTATCAAGATCCTCTGACATTAAGCTATGATTGCTTAAACTGTGTGATTATTATGGATATGAATTCTAGAAATTGTACCTTTTAAACTTCTGCATTACATGTCATTTTCCTCTTAATGTTTAAAAAATGTTTAAAAGTGGCGCCTTTTTTTTTTTCCAATAGAAAAAGCAAAAGAATATTTTGCGGATAGGAATTCAGAGTCTGGGTTCCATGTTGTGGGGTGATGACATCTGTAGCAGCGACACTCCTGAAGATATTCATAGCCTTACAAAATTTCTGTATGTTCTCCGTGGCCTCCTCCGAAAATCTCTGTCAGCCTGCATCATCACGGTGCCAGCTCACCTTATTCAGGTAGGAATGCTGTCTTTGCTGTATTTCATAGTTGACACATCAGTTAGCAAAAATTTAAAGTTTATGGTAAGGTAATAAATACAATTTTGGACATTTTGAGAACTCTTCTTGTTCAAAGGGTGAAGTTAAAACAGAAGTTCACTGTAGTGTTTCTATACTTTTGTCTTTTCTGAAAAACTTTCCAAAATTTCAGAATCTGTAAAAAAGCAAAGATGCACTTTTCAGCTGCCTTCAGAACACTCTTTAGGGTTTCAGTACAAGACATTTCAGTCCACTGTCTGCATCTGTCATGCTCATTATGATGATGTGTGATCTTATTTTAAAAGCCAGGAATTGAAAGATACAGGTTTACTCTTTAATTCTAATACCCGCTTCTAGTGGGACCAGGAGCAAACTAGTTATGATAGCAGAGTAATTCTCCCAACTGCAAAATCAGAAGCTGCTACAGCATCTTTCCTGAGAGCATCATATGGAGACTTAAATCTATCTTCTGGAAAAAAACTTTTTTAGCAAAAGGAAAAATGTAGACAGTCTTTTCTGCAAGGGGTAATATAACTTGCAAAAGCAAACTTCCTATTCACAATGAACAGAGAACCTGTAAATTTAGGTATTAATTTGATTTGATTATAGTAAAAAAGTATCGGATAAAACCTCATATTATGCAAAATGTTTTCATAGCAGATGAGTTGATCATTAGATTAAATCCTATATTCGGTAAGTACATCACTCTCACTTGTGTATTGCATTTTGTAAAGCTGTTTGAATACCTGCATATGTGATTTATCTAGATACGTCATGTGCTTAACTGCTTCAAAAATAAAGAAATATGATTTTTTAGTTTTTCCAGTGCAATCAAAAGTGTGTGAATATTCCCCTTGCAGTGCAAACCTCCGTCTCCGTACTTGGCGATTTTTAAATATTAGATGGCAGTTCACCTTCAAAAAGGTTGATAGTAAAATTTATGAATTAATATAATTTGTGAATGTAAAACTAATATCCTTCTTTTTACACATTGGAATTACCTGTCCATAACTGAGACAGACAATAGGTTTCATTGTACTGTTTTTTTATATATTATGTCAATAAAAGGTATGATCATATTTTTTAGAGAAGTAGTCCAGAAGCGTCTCTGAGAAACAAACTGAGAGGTGAAGATTTTTGTTTGTTGCAAACTTACCAGAGATGTTGATTTTGGGTTTGTGTTTATAAATGCCGTATAAATCAGTTCCTATGGAGTTAGGATTGAAATTGTGTCTAAATTTTTAAAGAACTGATTTTTTTATTTTAACAGAATAGTTTTACAGTAAGTGCTAGAATATTCAGAATTTAAACAAAAGAAACATTATTTCCAGAATCTTTGCTTAGCAGCCTTAAACAGATAAGAGCATTAATTTAAAAAAAAATGTTGAACTTCATGTATCCTTCTTTAAGCACTACACTATGGAGAAAACTGTCATTAGGAGGAGCAAAGCTGCTGAGGGTTCCTTCTACCCCACATTACTCAGTTCCCAGAGCCCTGCTGTGTAGTTGTTCCACTCTCCAAGCAGCCTGTTAAAGAGCCCCTGAGAGCATGTGTACAGCCCTCCATGTTAATAGTTAATTGGTGAGGATGGCAAGATGAGAGGACAGCCGAACATGTGGTCTCTCAGGCTTCAGCCGTAGACAGACCTTTAGTTATAATAACAGCAGCTGCTCACATTCTCACAACCCAGCTACTCACCATTCTGTTGCTGAGGTTTCTTGCTGGATTAAAAAAAGTAAAGAAAATATCTTTTCTTTCCAAGAGAATGAGAGGGATATTTTTTTCCAAGTGCATTTCTGTATATGTATTTAATTGGATCAGAGTAAGTTCTAGCATATGCTTTCTCTGTTGAATCTTAAAGTCAGTACACTGAAGGCATACAAAATGCATGCTATTTTTCTGAAGATATAGTAAATTCCACATTTATTCCCTGAACTACTGTTTCTCTGTTTTATCTGTTATCTTTTGCCTCTCAGCTGTGTTAATTAGATGGTCTGCAAGTAAATTCTTCACGTGAATAATTTTCATAAAGGTAAATGTAAGTTCAAAATCACATTTGAATCAAGGTTTTGTCTGCATAACATATACAGAAAATTAGTTTCTTATTTACTTGCTTTGTCGTGAAAAAATATTTTTTTTAGTAGTGACTCATACCATATCTTGTCTCTGTCAGCCCCCAGTACTAGTTACTCCAGTGAAGAAGAAATAAAACTTACAATTGATAGTACAGATTTTCAGCAGGGACAATGTCTTTCCATCCCAGAGTAGTTATATTTTTTATATGTAGTGTATTAGTAAAGCATATATGTATATATAGTTTGAGGTTGGGTTTTTTTACGTATTTTGCCAAATACTTCACATGTTGTACTGTGACAGGGAGTTCCACAACTTAAGTCTACGTGGTTTCTTTCTTTTTCAGAAAGTTTATTTTTGCCTTTACTTTTCATAAGTTGTATCTTTGTTCTTGGCTGATGAGACAATAAGATGAGGCTCCCTATTTTATCTTTTCTATATTCTGTTGGTTTTGTATTTTTTCTCATGCTGCCTCCTTAATCTGTTTTTAAACAGTCACATTTCATTTAATCATATTTCATTTTGTTACAGTAACATAATACAAAAATGCTAGTATTGTTTGTTCACTTCTCCTACATTCTAATGTCTGCTTTGTCTCTTTGATGACTGTTGAGCACTAAACTGATTTTGGTCTTGATGCTTTTCCCTCTGTGGTACATATCCACCAATGTGGCTCTTTCATTATTCCAGCTACTCATTGTCTTGGATTTAATAACTCTGAATTGCATTTATCCAAATATGATGCTCATTCACCCAGATTGATGGGACACTGAATGTCTTCACAGTCTTCTGTAAAGCTATGTTTTTGTAAAAGACACAAATTTGCAAAAAACCTGGTTGTGTACAGAGTTTTTTCAGAATAATTCAAAGAAATTCTAGTCCACTAACGAACACAGATTCTTTGTGTTCTATTGATGAAACTTCTAGTGTAAACAGTGCATGAAGAAAAAAGAAAATTCTCTTTTCTCAACCATAAAAATAGAAATACATTATTCTGGAAGAGGATTTCAAGAAAATGACACTAAAAACTTATCCAATTATGAATTTTATTCAGATGATGTGTGACAAGTTTTACTTGATTGATATTTTCTACCAATTGAACATACTCTTATCTTACGCTGTCTGTCAGGTAATAAATATTGAGATACTTATGAGTATGATTAAGATAGTTGATGGAAGGTTATTTTTCAAGTCTTTATACTGCTTCTTGAAAATGCATTGTGCCTATGAAATCAGATGGTGCATTTGAAAAGGGAAAATTCCATTTTTAAAATCTAGCATTGATCAAGAAGGGCAGACTGAAGAGTGATTTCATTTGTTGTTATACTTTCAAATTTAAGGAACATTATAAAAACAGTAAAGACTCTTTTTCTGTATGTATGTTAATCTTTGCCTTTTAGTACCTAATTTAAAAAAAAACTTTGTGCTACAGAGTGTGACTTAAAGGACTGTAATGTCACTGTTTTATACTTGCAAAAGCCCTAAATTAGAATTTTAAATATTTTCCTATAGTATTTTATTATTTTTCTTCAATTACTAGAAATCATTGGTAAATCCAAAATCATCCTTCCCCCAAAATACTAAATAAATTCGTAATTCTGTTCCTGTTCTTGCCAATTTTGTATCAGTTAAGTAGTATTTTTTAAAGTAGATTATTATTTTTGCTGGGAGAAAGCGTAACACTTTTATTAAAGCAGTCCTTTATTTTGAACTTGAAGCTGTACTACAGGTAAGGACTAACAACCATATTAGTCAGCATGTACCAAGGGCAATTAATTGACTAATGAAAAGTCAGTATGAATAAGTCTTGTTACAGAACCTCTCCGCAGAGTATGAAGTTCTCTTTAGCAAGGTATTTTCATTATTTCATCCAGTATGTTAAAAATTAATTTCCTACAATATTAATGTTTTGACGCTCTGAATCCACTGAAGTGCATAAGTTACTGTATGTTTCAGTGTAGAAAAATTCAGAAACAAACCTTTTCACATCCATAGCCTTTTGTGTTCACACTGAGTAATTTAGCAGCTAAACTCGAAGTCAAGCAATAGAGTGCTTTAGAATCCATTGCTAATATAGGATTATAAGAAGTGAACTCCTTAGCTTCTGAATTTCTCACAGTTTGAAATCTTTATTCCTATGACAAGAGCTAAGAGTGATTGCCTGCCTTAGAACTCTAACTTCCGAGAGCTCACGAGTGTGAAATTCTGAATAACCTTCAAATATATTTGATGATGCGCTGCTGCACACAAATTTGTATTGAGATCAAATGTCATGTAGTTTCTATATCATGGTTAAACATCTCTGCAAAACAGAAACTGTGAAGATGAAATGGTCAATATATTTTTCTATGTTGGGGTTTTTCTACTTGCTTTTTACTGTTGCACGTTGCGTTTTGTAGTATGTGAGAAATATAGTTTAACAACCATACAAGGAAATATTGAGAGTCATGAGTTTAAGACAGGTATTCCTGGGTTACCCGCATAGTTTTCAGATATGAACGTGGTTGTCTGGATATTCTAGACATTCATAAAAGCATCTTTAAAATTATGATCAAGTAGGAAGCTCATAGAATTACACAATTCAAAATTTAAGTTGCGTGACAGTAATTAATTTTGTTTTCAGTTTCTATTATTGTTGATAGTATTTGCTAATCGAGTTGCAGAAGAAGTAGAAATATTTTGTTGTTTCATAAAAGAAGTTTATGGTTGCCAGCATGCTGTATTCTAGGTCTACCACTTCTGATCTGGTAACAACTACCGATTTCAGAAACATATACAATAAACATCTGAAGCATGTTTTTGTACCCACATGTTAAATGTCTTTGAACTGACTTAGCTGTATTATCATTTAACTTTGTGTGTTGAAATGACATGCCTAAAACAGCCTTCTCATTTTAGTAAATTT